AAGCTGGGAGGCTAAAATTTTAAAGGGATATTCTCAGCCTGCATACAATTTAAAAATTCCAAACCCGACCCCAAGAATGCTCCTAGGTCACGTGCGGCCCTGTGAAAGTTTTGGCGGGAAAATTGCTAACTTGAGAACCAGAAAAGTTGGGGAGCTCAGATTTTAGGAGAATATTCCCCGTACAAATAAAACTTAATTCTTCAAATTCAGTCTTCATTTAAGCGTGATTTTCGTGTACAGGCAATAAATTTCTGGCGGGAAAATTACTCATTGAACACTTGGGTTACTTTCAAAAAACACCGGTACACGGAATAGTTTATTTCTTTTTATGCAAAATTTACGATAATTATCGGCATTAAGCACAAAGGCAGGTGTGAAAGGAATAACCCGTTCATGCAGTTAACCCAGTTCAAGTTTTGTGCAAAAACGCATGATCGCACCGGCTCGCCTGGTGCTTTCCAGCCTGGGTTTGCGTGAATTCCGTCTGTCTTTCTGACGAATGCTCGATCATTGATAAAATGCAAATTTGAAGGAAAATGGAAGAGGATTACGAAACATGCAAAACGCACTCACTATTGAGTTTGCAATAAAACTAAGTATTTGTCATGCCTGCATGCAAGGAATTTCATCTCCCTGCTGAATTTAAATCACACATGAATATAGGATATCCTTGCAAAGTTTCAGCTTTGTAGCTTGTATGGTAAGCGAAATAGACACTTCGCTAAAAATATTTTTAAAGTGCCCTAAGTCGTGGAGCAAGTGGAAATCGAAGCTCAATTTAGGTACATATTTTTCCATACGAATATTTTGGAAAAGTTTCGGCTAGTGCTTTCCGACTAGTTTTCGAGTTAGTACAGTGTCAACTACTAACTCGAAAACCAGTCAGAAAACAGCGACCGTACGCGTGGTGTAGACGTGCACGGTAGCTGAATTTGAAATCTTTAGCTCATACATGCACAGAAAACATTCCTGCAAAGTTTCAGCCTTTTACCTTGCCTGGTTCACGAAGTCGTTTCCCGCCGAAGGGATTTGCATATTTTTTCGAGGTTCAGCAAGCTAGATCTAAGCGTGCATATGCGAACATTTTAAAAGGGGAGGGTGACACACCGATGGGAATAAGACCCCAAAATTTCAGCATTCCAGCTTTTCTGGTTGCTGAGTTGAAAGTTGTGAAAAAGCTCACTCGGAAGACACACACACACACACACACACACACAAATGACTGGCCTCTCAACAATATGCGTTTTTGCTGAGTGTAGCAGCGCATAGTGCTGCACAGCAAAAACGTATAAAAATTTAAATCATTGACGACGCGCACTGGGCGAGCCCGTGCGATCATGCGTTTTTGCAGTATTTCGTGCTGTAATAAGATCACTCGAAATTCCGCTAGCTGGAAACCTCTTGTACATACCGGTTCTCGAATTTCGGGAAGCTCATTATCCACGCTATACTTGGAGAGGGAACATTCCTTTCAAATCCTAGGTTCCCAGCTTTCTCAGTTTCCGAGTTATCAAAATTCCAGCCAAAAAATTTCACGGGGCCGTACGTGGCAACCACGCATAACGGGGAGGCGGGGGGGCTGATTTTGATAACCTTAAGTTGTAGGTTAGTTGAAAACATTTCCTGAAAGTTCCAGCCTCCTAGCCTCTCTGGTTCTAGAGTTAGCCAATTTTCTGCCAAAAATTTTCACGGGGCGTACGTGGCAACTACGCATAACGGGAGGCTCAATTTGATAAATTTAAGTTGTAGATGAGTTGGGAACGTTTCCTGGAAGTTCCAGCCTCCCAGCTTTCTTGGTTCCCGGGCTAGCGATTTTCGCGCCAGGAATCCTTACGGGGCTGAACGCGGGAAACGCGTACACTTGGGAGTTGAATTTAAAATCTCTGAGTTCTATATGGACAGGGAACATAATCCCAAAATTTCAACTTTCTAGCTTGGGAACCAAGAATTTTCCCGCCACAACTTTGAGGCGCTCGTACGCGGGGCTTAGAAGTGCTTGAGGGTTGATACCGCGGTCCTGGGTAGCACTTGGCAGGAGAAGCCACTCGCAAAATTTTGGCGCCGGAGCTTATGCTTGGGCCGAGTTGAAATACCCGGACAGACGCACGCACACACACACACACACACACACACACACACACACACCGGGGTCGTCACTATATGTGTTTTTACATATATGCAAAAACGCATTATTAACTACCCCTCTCAAAAATTAATATGAGAATTTACTTGTTTAAAAAAAAATGTT